TCTTAAACACATTCTGAAAGCCGTCCTCAAACTTCAATCCTGAGTTACTGCCTAATCCATAAAGCCCCGTAAAAACCGAGCTCAGAGGCGCGAGTTTCAAGGAGAGAAACGCGTTTACTGCGGAGCTAAGGAAAAAAGCCATAAAAACATTCAATGTTGCCAAAATTTTTCCCAAAATATGTTATTCCTATAGTTTTTTAGTTAATGAGTTGGTGTTTCTCCATAGGAAACGGTGTAAGTCAATTGGAAGTTTAGAACTGAAATTTAGTCTGAAGAAAAGAACCTGTATAGGAAGAGAGGGTACAAGTCAAAATATGGAGCTCCGAGGGCCCGAAATGGCAGTCAACTTTCTAATAGAAAAAACGTTACTGCCAATCTTCAAATTCCAATGCCAAACGGATATGGCCAAGAATGAACATAAATGAGCAATTATCCTCAAAAATGAATAAATTTATGCAAAAACAAAATAAATGCGTGATTTAAAAACGACAGGTCGTATTAGCTCGTAAGATCAGTCACACCATTGATTTTGTGCCACAAACTTCATGCGAAACGACAATCCCCACATCGAAACTCGGCTGTTTGGAAAACGCCTTCAAATGTGACGTGATACCTCCCGCATTCCGGAGAGTACGAATAGTTGTATCACTGCGCCTTAGGAACGCAACGGAAGATTAAATTTGAAATAGCCTTCGTTTAGTTAAATATTGTTTTATTTATTTGATAATTTAAATTACAAATTTAAACAATAAAAAACTTTAAAAGCTAAAAGTTAAAGTAAAATAAATCAAAATACCAAATATATCTAAATAAAATTGATAGTCTTTAATTTAAAAATATATAAAAATATAGAAATTTAACTTTAGATTTTAAATACAATTATTTCAACATTTAATTAAAACCAAATTAAAACAAATGAAGTAAAATTATTAAATTAATATACAGTTTAAATTACATTAATAATTAGGCAATCGATCAGTTTCCAACTGTTTATCAAAAACATAGTTTAAAGAAAAAGTTTTTAGATAAATTCTGCGCAATAAACGAGTTAAATAGCTGCAGTAAATTAACTGTACTAAGGTAGCATAGTAAATTGCTTTATAATTAAAAGCTTGAATGAAGGAAATAATGTGAAAACCAAACATCACGGTATTTCTATACAGCCCGTAAACTCCTTTCAAAAAAATTGTTTTCTCAGGGGATATTCGGCAACGTCTGAATGCTCATAAGTCGTTTTTCCTTGAAAGGGGAGTCGAGTTGATAAAGGCGTGACCTAATTAGGCGTGCATTGAAATGAGGGCTCATCCGCAAATTGAGACAATTTATGCAAATACTAAGTCAAATACGTGCTTTACAAAAGACGGGTCGTAACAATTGTTTCAATAAATCGTTCTGGGTGGTTAAAGCTCATGAGTTGGCTGCCCTTTTGGGCCCTAAAAGCTCCATGCCCTAATCTCAAAATTACCGACACGTCCGTACTCTCTCTAGATGTGTACTGTAGTCATGAATATTTCTCTCCGATATTTTTGGATACTTCAGATTATTCAGATTACTTCCGTTGCATTGCTAAGGCGCAAGGGTTCAACTATTCGTACACTCCGGAATGCGGGAGGTATCACGCCGCATTTGAAGGCGTTTTCGAAACAGCCAAGTTTCGATGTAGGGACTGTCTTCTTGCATGAAGTTCGTAGCACAAAATAAATGTAGTGACTGGTTCTACGATCTAATACGACACCTATGTGCACATCTCCTAGTTCTATTTACAACTTTTGCTCAAGTTGAGAAGGAGCATCTATCCTGCGCGAGATGTCCTGGATGTAATTGCATTCTGTTTTAACTTTAATCAAAATGTATTATTGTAATTTTCCTGTACCTTAAATTGTTGATTCCAGTTCCTGGTTTTTTTTCTTTCCGAGGTTTCATTTCTTAACACTTGTTTATTTTTCAGTCTCCTAAAGAATCACTCGTTTGCTTCATGCAATTCTACCCGGGGAAAATATCGAAGGAAAACTGACAAGCCCCGTGAAGGCTATTTAAACATCAATCTTCCGTTGCATTACCAAGGCGCAGTAATACGACTATTCGTACTCTCCGGAATGCGGGAGGTATCACGCCGCATTTGAAGGCGTTTTCGAAACAGCCAAGTTTCCATGTAGGGATTGTCTTCTTGCATGAAGTTCGTGGCACAAAAGCAATGGAAAGACTGATCCTACGAGGTAATACGACACCTCTGCGCACATGTCCATGAGCTTTTGCTCAAGTTGAGAAGGAGCGTCTATCCTGCGAGAAATGTCCTGGATGCATTTTCATTTTGTTTTAGCTTTAATGAAAATATATTATTGTAACTTTCCTGTATTTTAAATTGTTGACTCCAGTCCCCGTTTTTTCGTTTCATTTCTTAACACTTGTTTATTTTTTACCCGTTGGCTTAATACAATTCTACCTCGGAAAAACACAGAAGGAAAACCGACAAGGCCCGTGAAGGCTATTTCAATTTTAATCTTCCGTTGCATTGCTAAGGCGCAGTAATACAACTATTCGTACTCTCCGGAATGCAGGAGGCATCACGCCACATTTGAAGGCGTTTTCCAAACAGACATGTTTCGTTCCGACGAGCTAATACGAAATCTCTGTGCACATCTCCTTGTTTTATTAATAGCTTTTGTTCATGTTGAGGAGGAGCGTCTAGTCTTCGCGTACTTCTGCGTAGCCCGTGAAATTCCTTCAAAAAACTTGTTTTCTCGGGAAGGGGGGGGGGGGATTCGGCAACGTTTGAATGCTCATACATCGTTTTTCCTTGGAAGGGGGTCGAATTGACCAAGGCATGGCCTAATTAGCAGTTAGAGCAATTAAGGCAGTCGAAACTACAGCTCTAGCACCCGGAACTCTCGGTCTCTCAGCCGGGAACGGACGGTATTTCTATATAGCCCGTGAACACCCTTCAAAAAAATGTTTTCTCGGGGGGACATTCGACAACGTTTGAATGCTCATACGTCGTTTTGCCTTGAAAGGGGAGTAAAGTTGACAAAAGCGTGACCTAATTAGTGGTTAGAGCAATTAAAGCAGTCGAAACTACAGCTCTAGCACCCGGAACTCCCGGCCTTTAAGCCGGGAACGGATGGTATTTCTATACAGCCCGTGAATTTCCTTCAAAAAAATCATTTTCTCGGGGGATATTCGGCGACGTCTGAATGCTCATATGTCGTTTTGCCTTGGAAAGGAAGTCGAGTTGACAAAGGCGTGGCCTAATTAGGCGTGCACTGACGCAACCCGCAAGGCTCCTCGGTCAAGTGACCCGCTACTGGGAGCGTAAGCCGGAGCCGGCACGGGCTTCATTCCGGGTAATTAGGCCTAAAAAAGTTGCCGAAAAACTTGGCGAGGGCGGAAGTTTCGGCGGACGAAGTTGCGGGATTAACCCTCGAGTAGGAGTTGGATCCGGATCGCGCGCGCGGGCCGGGAGGTGGGCGGTGCAACAGGAAAAACTTAAGGCCACTAATGATGATGGAAGTAATCGGGGCTTTTAAGTTGTAAATTATGACGGTCGGGCCTACAGGTCCAAGCCGCCTTGCCAAATTCCCGCACATTCCCGCAACAGATTAAGTTATTTTCATGTTTTTAATGGATTGTATTTGACAGTGGTTCGATGCATCGTTTGGTTCAAAACAATAGATCGTTTTCGATACATCAAATAGGTAAGATTGTATCGATATCGATTGGTTTTACATAATTATGTAAACGTAGCCTCAAAAGTCAATCGAGTAATCTGAGGAAACGGGGTTTTTCTTAATTTCAAAAATGAATATTTTTACGAGATATTCAAGGTGATTCAATGGCTTCCATTTTTTGTGTCTAAGGTAAGTGCGAGATATCGCATCAATTCGTTCCATAATTTCAGCTACTTGTCATTTTTTTCGAATTTTGAGATCGCACTTCTGTTCTCATTAGACTAAAGAATTCTGGTACCTTTTACGAAGAAATTCAACGTATTAAAGGCAGGGTTTTCCGACAAAATATTCATAAAAATAAACGTTGCAACATCAATTTTTTCTTCCTCGTGAGAAGTTTCTGATCTCCGGGGCCAGAGAGATATTAATTATTATTAGCGAAGGTAATGAGTTGTCAAACGTTATCGGGAGAAAAATGGGAGTCATTTTCCGCCCGGACAAGCTCAGGTCAACGTTAGAATTCGTTTCTATTTTGAAACTCACGGCGCGATCATAAAATTTGTCCGACATATATCAGAGACATTGAATAGGTTTTTGATGTTTTGGGCGCTCCTTCCTACATTGAGATACCAACCGCGAAAGTGTGACTGATGGATTATTAATGAGTGTGAGGGCCCATTAATTACATTTAAAAATGATACATCGATTTTGCAGCGTAGGAGTTGATCTGATGTGAATTGCATTCCTCCCACCATTCCATGAAAACCGTAAATGATGAATGGGGTTTGGAAGAAAATATTTTAGACATTCTGGTTGGTGAAAGTTCAAAAACATACGTCCCGGATTGCAACATATGTTTCGTACAAAGAATTAATAAAAATTTTTCTTCGTATTTCTCTACTTTTCTCTGCCTTGAGAAAGTACCGCGAAGAATGTTCTGAAAAAATTTCGGACTATAAAATATTTCCTTTCATATTGCATAATTTAGAGGGTGAAAAAATTATCATTGTGGAATTCACAGACTTTTCAATTGGTAAAACTTTTGACAAAAGCAGGGTCTATAATTTCATTACAGTTGCGTTTCGGAGAGAAGAGGAGTGATCAAAGTTACCTACATGTGTTTACATTATTTTTGGGTCAATGAACGTTATTCAAGTTGGAACCGCTGGATCTTCATCTTCGTTGCTAATTATCTCTTATGCTTTATCGTCCATTGATTCAAGTGCCAACACTTGACAGTTACACACTAGAAGCTCTTGTAACTAGGTCGAGTGTTTTTCCTCCTATTTTTTTATTCATCAATATTTATTATGATCAACACTGCAGTGTCTCAGTTTTTTTGCTCGGGAGTGCATATTTCGTAGGACTATTTCAATTTTATAATTTTGCGCGAAGGCAGTTTGTTTCTGGTGTCGAACATTTGAAACATTTTGGGGAAAATCTGTGTTGACAATTATATTAATCGTAAATCAAGAGTGGTACTCGCATTTGAACGAAGGAAAATGCACCGTTGCTTTTTACGCTTACGCTGATAAAGTGGATCCAGGTCCAACTTACTTTTCTGGATCATAGTTTTAATTGTACTTCTACGGTAACGATCATTTCGGCCCCGATTGATATGCAACACTGTTACCGAGACCGACCCAATCCCAAGTAGCATTTTTCAGCTGAAAAATCGCGATATTTTGAAAATTAAGTCGCGATTTTTTTACAATTTTTTGGCGATAAAATCACTGGGATTCCAACTAGTCCAAATGATGAACAAATCATACTAACGAAAATGATTTGATTTCCTCCAAACGATTCATAATTCCGAACTGTCAAACTCCAATTCATTAAAAATTACGGAGTATGTGCGCTCCAAATTTGTGTTAAAGGACACACGAAGTAAAGACGTGCCTTTCTCAGAGTTACAGTTAAATCTTTCTAATGATGCATTATTTTAGTTTGAACTTTATAGAGTAAATCTCCCTCCACCTTACAACAATACTATTTAATGGACATTTTAAACTTAAAATAAGGAAATTTCCGGTGAAAAAATGATTGAAGTAAAAGACGGCGTTGCAATTATAGTATCATTAATTGCAATTCTGGCCGGTCTGATTGCTTTCACTTTGAAACGACGCTATGAATTTTGGCAAAGGCGAAACATTCCATGCTATCCTCGAGACAGAATGTTCATGACCGGCCATCACAAAGGAGTCGTATATCAGCAGATGTACAGGTAAGACGTAATATACTGCCTGGCTATGGAAAAACGCCGTATGAGTCTTCAGGCGTTGCCATATTTCCTTTATTAACCAACGAATTTACTGGGAAAATTCTAAATATTTTTCTTCCAATTTTTCAGAGAATTTTGTACCCAATTAAATCTAAAATGTCGGAAAATTTTAAGATAAAACACGCAAAACTTTCGGCATAAATAAATATTTATTCGGGGAAATTTGGCAACTCTCGAATGATCATACGGCGATTTTCCTTAGCACGGCAGTATAAGTGGTTAATGGCGATGAGCACCCGTGAAAAGGTTAGAACCCGAGCAATGAGCATTATGTTAAATGAGATATAGTGATAACGCTCTGTTGCCCTGAGAGACGTTCCGTGCTAAACGTCTAGGTTATATGACGTAACGCTTAGAAGTTAATTGAGTTATTGTCCCGGGAGAGGAACTAAAACTGGCCATACACTGAAAAACCCTCCACTTTTAAGCATCGTAATTACAGGATATACGAAGACACGCGCTGACGGCGTATCAAGAGTGGCGGTAGCCACCCCCGGTCGAGGAAAATGACGTCCTACTAAAGTCCCGATAACAAACGGGTGGCCGACACTCTTAGTCACAGGCAACTCCCTTAACTTGAAAATTGATTCGATTGCCATTCGACTGCAGCCCAAACGACGGCTCGGATTCCTACGATCTTGGTGTCTACGGACGCATCTCAATCAGGACTACAAAGTGGAAGAGTTTCATTAAGATCCATTGAGTTTTCAAAAAGTTATAAGCACTTAATGACCCAAAACAAGGAAAATTTTACTTTTTACTTTGCCGGGAAATTTGAATTTCAAGAATCCAGGGT